TAAACCGAGGTGGGACGCGAGGGGGTTAAAGAGTTGTTATCGTTTGATTACACTGATTGCGTAACACGATCATTCAGTCGTTGTTTGATTTTCTGAAGAACGGTCAATTACGTCATATCATCAAACCATGACATGCTCAATATGTGAACAATCCGCTTTTGGTCTACCATTTCGGAGTGATGGATAGAAATATCTACCGCCACGGTCGTGCAAAGAATAATCTGCCTCAGTATCAAGCTTAGGCCTTAAATGATCTATCCACATCTACCGCATGTCCCGTGTTTTGATAAAATGCTTCACAATTGAGCAACGAATGACTTTTTTTCAATGATCAATGGGGCTATTTCAACAAATACTCGAAATCGGTCGTAATGATACACTATTTTTGTGTACTTTTGGCAACCGCGGATTATCGGTCCCCGTTGGCCTAATACGTTAGAAAATGGACGCGTCGCAAAATCTTAGGGAGTGCCCATTTTATTTGAGCTGTCATCTCCTTTTCGGTCGCATTCATGGATTTCGACCGATCACTCAATATGATATTCATCTTGTCTAAGTAGTGCATTCGATTTAGTAGCATGATTCCCATACACAATTTATCCGGTTGAGATAGTATATCTTTATTTTTCTGAAACTATCGTTTATCGTCTGATGTTTTCTTTTCAAAATGAACAGTGATTGAACAAGTTCAAAGTTCACAGTCTGATGTCTAGTTGTAAAATTACAAATTGGTTTCATGTCACCACGCCGTCCTCAGATAGTTTGTTGCTTTGAAAATATTTGTACTATTTCCTTCTTGTCATTTTTCTCCACAACCGGAAGGAGGAATGGTTAAAAGACCGTAAAGAAATTGGAGACATATAAATCCAGAATAGATTCCCGTTATTTTTTTCTTTTTGCAAATCACTTTGTTTTGCAGATTCAGGTCGCATGTTTAAGTGTTGTGAAATTGTTCGATGACCTTGGTTGGATCAAATCAACAACCCGGAAATCTTGAACTAGAATTCCATCATCACCGTCGATCAATAAATCTCAGATTGCCTAATGTGTGAAATGTTAGAATCCAACCACGACCAACCATCTGAGTCATTTCAGTCCACTATTTCTCAACCGATTCTTCTCTCAACCAATTTCGTTCCCTGTACAACAGAACAAAATGTCCAATCAAATGAAACACTTACATCAATTGTTAACTGATAGGTCGGTTCAAGCGGTGGTAATAGAGGACAATATTTTCCATATTCTCTGCTCCCTTTTGTTTGTGACAATTCCGTGAACCGAGTGATCGGGATCAATTCTAAATTTTGCTCGGGCAAAGCTCGATACAATGCGCGTCGTAATTTGGTATCGTGAAACAATAGGCACGGTTTCACATCGAATTCCAACAGATAGTGCATAAACTGATCAAACACTGGTGTGGATCGGTGACGGGATGAGAAATCAGTCGGTTGAGTGGAGGTGACCTGATCCGGATCACTCTCGGTTTCACTGACCAGTCTGGACGCGTTGGATCGGACTGTATAGTTCAACTCCTCGATTGAGTCGGATTTGGATGAGCCCAGAGGGTGGTCCCAATCGTCTGTACCGTGAATCTGGGAAAGAGTGAGTGGGCATCCGTCACGGATCCAATCGCAGAAGGCCTGTTGGAAAAATGATTACGGATTATCAATGTCATTTAGCATGTGAGAAAAGCTATTTTTCCGCAATATCATGGCAGTTATCTTATCAATCAACCCCCCCCCCCAAAAAAAAAGTATTGTTTCATATCACAATAATTGTGCTTCATTAGGTTTAACTGACTCGGAGAGAAATCTGTTGCACACAAAAGCGAGGAACGAGGGAACCAGAAGGGTACAGACACATACACACACAGACGCGCTTAGACCGAACGTGTTAGACTGACGTGTTCCGTTCGTGCTCCTAACTGGGCAGCTATATCTCAGCTGTCAGGCGCATCACAGATGAAGTTTCCGTGCGCATACAAAACGCTCGGTTGGCATTTGTCAACTTAAGACATTTGTGGCGCTATCGCGACATCCGCCTGTCTGTGAAGGGTCGAACATGTGCTGCAGTAGTTCGACCAGTGCTGCTTAACGGTGTAAAAATTTGGCGATTATGGGAACAAGATAAAAATAGATTGTCGATGTACGAACATCGCTGTCTACGTAGCTAGAATTACACGAGTCTGGTGGGGTAGCCGAACTAACAATCCTGACGTTGGGCGTAGAGTTTTAAGTAGTCGCAGTCGTCCATTGGACCAGGTGGTCCACCTCCATAAATTACGTTAGTTGAGACATTTGTTACGGATGTCACCAAATGGATTGTCACGTCGAGCGATTATTGCCGAGGCAGGCATTGGGTGGAAAAAGCCAAGGGTCGTCAAACTGAGACCTGGTATGAGGGTATGAAAACGCTTACCAGGAGTCTGGGTCACATAAGTCCCGTTAGGCTCCTCCCCGAGACCATGGTCACCGAGTCTCATCATCAGCAACAGCAGTAGGAACACGGTTTATTGACCAAGCTTCAACTCAGGATTGCGCAGACAGAATGCGTTTTAGTTTCAGTTTTTACAACCATTAACTATGCATATTCATGAGTCGGTTTTGGTTGCTGTCTTTTAGCCGCCAATTCAGATGAAAGCAGAATAGGGATTGGAATGTTTAGAGCATATTGAAGGGGTAGATGTTTCATAAACACTGTAGTTGCAAGAATAGTGAGTAGATGCATGAGCGCCACTGATTTTGACACCCAGTCATATAACTCAGTGTCTCTAACTAATTGTAACCATCACCTCGAGGTCCCCATTCAAAACCTATGTGACCCAGTCTCCTGGTAAGCAATTCATACCTTCACAACAGGTCTCAGTTTGACCGCCCTTGACCTTTTTCCGTTCCGTCTGCCTCGGCAAACATCGCGCGTCATGGCAGCCGGGTTCGATTGCCGACGGCTATGTGGTGGGATTATGTCCACAGGCATTTGGAAACCTGTACGAGAGAGGTTAGTCAGTTAGTTAGTCACATGTAAAACTTCGCTTGTATGTTGTTTTTGGTGTGTTCTCCGAGCTGGAATTGTTGTTCGCAGATGTTTCGTAGTCAGGCTAGGCAATATTAGCAGTGCAACCTCGGGGAAGTGCCAGTCCTCAGTGTGACCGAGCTTATATAGTTCTGTTCGAGGGTTCTAATCGGCCACTTGCGTCCCTTCAATCCTATTGGTCAGTTGTGACCATCTTCTGTGATTTGATTGGCTGCGTCCTTGTCATGGTGACACGCGTCTTTCCCCATTGATTAATTGGCTTTCTTGGACCAACTGAGACCCATCTACCATTACCTAAGGAACCAAAGTTGACCCAAAGCTCTGCTGCGTAAGATTTTGGAACTTCCACAAAGGCTTGCCACGATAATGGTCACAGGACTCCACTGTGATTCATACATACATAGAGAGACTGAAGTCATCGAGGGTATAATCTGCTCAGTATCGTCAGATTCGAGGAGACTTGATGTTAGTGTACCAAATATTACACAATCCAAATCAACCTTGTCGCCCGCTTTTCACATTCTCATCAAACATTCATCTACGTGGAACTCCATTCAAGTTACTACTCCAAAAATCTCGACTGGACTGTCGACATCATTCATTCACCGTCAGAGTGTACACTATCTGTCGGAAAAAACGGTCGACACACGTGATTTAATCACAGCCAATGTATTATTTCTCTTGAATTATTGTTCGCTCGCTTCGTTTCTCCGTGAATCGCAAAATAACACTGCAGGTGCCTTAGCTCGTGCCCTGGTTCAAAATACAGTCCCAAACTAGCCTCAAGCATTGTATTGTAAAAAATTTGGAGTTTGCAAAAGTGATGAATGAAACCGATAGGTTCTGAGATAGAGAGAGAGAGTCAGCGCAGACTACTGTTCACGCACTTTCGATCTGAACGTTTATTGTTTTGAGTAACTCCTGGTGAACGATTGAAAGACAAATGGAGAATTTCCATTAGTCTTCAATCTGATAGAAAGAAATCACTGTAAATTATGGAGAACAAGCAAGTCTAATCGAGCTTGTCGGTCAACTATTGTCGCACTGTGTGTGTATGTGGGTCTGGTGAGGCCAAAGCATACAACCTGTATCAAGCTAGACCGGGGCTTCTTAATCTGGAATGCACGACAATGGAAATGTTGCAACGAAATACCGAATAAATTTTCTATTTCAAAAATTGTGATAGATGACAGCATTCACGTCTGCCTGTGCAAAACGCATACCAAATATGACTACGCTGACATTCAAACTATTCAGAAGAGCTTGCAACTGACTTGAATCGTCCACTTAGCAGCACAATGTCATTTACACAGATCACAGCTCATATAGTCCACCACCAGGAAGTAAATGGATGCCACCACTACCATAGTACGAGGATCGTAAACTTTATGCTCACTTGATTCAGAAGTAAATCTGTGGTGTTTTAGGCGAGTATAGTTACTGCAAGAACCCTTTTGTTCACGATATTCCCCTTAGCGATTCTTATGTCTTGCCAAGACGTATGATCCATATGAGCGCCTCTTGACTAGCTCGCAACAATTGGAGAGAGAACACGACTGGAAAGACGACAGTTTTATTCTTGATCATGAAACAAGACGCAGATACACGTGGCAAATAAGGCGTACGAGAACGACGTGATGACACACCAATCACGTTGAGACCTTGATACTCCAAGTGGTCGATTGGACGACAGACTTCTCATACGCCTTAGTCATCCAATCGGGAATCAATTCGGTTTGGGCGTTACAAACGCACTTGTGGTGTGACGCGGGTCGATGCGTGGCCGGACGGTTTCTGTGCATTCCATCCTAACAGCGAGTGAAACGAATTTGCATGCCAAAAACGACTCAGTCTAACCGCTATTGCTATCACATCAACGTGATAGATCACGAGATGGATACTAGTGATTAACCCTTCACGTTAAGCTTCCCCCATTAACCGATATTGTACAACACGACTTGAACTAACAGTTTAAAAATTGCACCATAAAAAGACTGGCAACTGATCGGAAACAGACTCAACGTGTCACAAGTCTAGCACGGGTTGTAGTGGGGCTGGGTTCGGAGAGGAGTGGTATAGTGTGCACTAGTCAGGAGAACTACGTTTCGATCAGGAACCATAAATCATGTGATTCACAAGGTCGTGATTTTTTATCTACAAATGGAATACGAATCGCACACAATAAACTGACCAGATGTGAATAAGTGCTAAGAGTGATTAGTGCAATTAAACTGGACAAAACGAACCTGAAGAAGACTTGAATACGTCCACTGATCGATCCTTTCATAGTGCATAGTGCGTTATCTGTCCAGTGACGGGGAACAGAACACTACGAGAACATTCCATTTTCGTTTGGCTGATTTAATAAACGCAATAATACTCCCTTACATACGCAATACTATGCCCATTGTTCGTAGGAGACAGAATAGTATCAAATATTGTTGATTGTGTCGAAAAGGAGACCGGTCTTTAACTGTGTCGCACGGATTATGGAGCCCGTTTTGACTGCGAGAACGACATAGAATAAAATTTGCAATCCACCCTGGGCCTGGTTTTTCCGAAGGGACATGGCCAAACTAGATTGGACTGCGAGTGAGTCAGGTGCGCATGAATGCCAGCTTGCGTTTTGTTCTTCACGCACATGATGCCAAACTATTCGCCATGGGCCACGCCCAAATTCGCAGATCTCAATGTTGATGGGGATACCGGATACTGGGCACGGCTGACAAATCACGTGATGGAAGAGTGGATCGATCGAAATGTGTACAATGTACACACACACACACACAATACAGAGAGAGAGAGTTTGAAAAAGTTCTACGTGCAGACTGATCTAACAGATTAATTGCTTTTGTTGAACTGCACGTTTTTGAACTTATTGTCACCCCAGCTCAACCCCGTCCCAAAGTGTTGCATTCTTTTCATTGAGAGCTCCATCTGAAACAGCGGATAGAAACACTCATTTTTCTTCTTCACGGACAGACTAAAATGCAACGTATCATCATCATCCCCATGTTCCCGTAGAACATGCAATACGATTCATGCCTTCTTCTCTATTTTTTCCCCGCTTGTAAAATCGAAAACGTGAGCAATAACAAGTTTGAAACGCTTCGCAGTTTAGTTCAGTGCTTACAATCATTAACCATACACTTTCATGCACCGGTTTGGGTTGCTGTCTTTTGGTCGCCCATTTGAATAAAACAGAGAAAGATGAACATTGGAATGTTAAAAGCAAATTCAAGTAAAAGATGGAGAATTCATATAGAGTGGTATTAGGAGAATGATGAGCAGATGCATGAGCGCCACTGTTTGCCACATCCAGCCATATCACTTAGTGTCTCTAACCATCGAGTACGATCATCCCGAGGTCCCCAGCCAAGGAGTCTAACGGACCTATGTGACCCAGACTCCTGGTAAGCATTTTCATACTCTCATACCTGCCTCGGCAATAATTTCTCGCCGTGACAATCCATTTGGTGACATGCGTAACAAATGTCTCAACTAACGTAATTTATGGAGGTGGACCACCTGGTCCAATGGACGACTGCGACTACTTAAAACTCTACGCCCAACGTCAGGATTGTTAGTTCGGCTACCCCACCAGACTCGTGTAATTCTAGCTACGTAGACAGCGATGTTCGTACATCGACAATCTATTTTTATCTTGTTCCCATAATCGCCAAATTTTTACACCGTAAAGTAGCACCGGCTGAACTACTGCAAAATATAACGCTTAGCAACCGCGTCAGTAAGATTTTATCGGGATTGTTTATATCTCACTGGACCTTTTTGGTTCATGCCATTTTGTGTACGTTTTCGTGTTTGTTTAATATCAGCCCCGGAACACGGAAGACCTGTCTGCAAGTGTTTCCTCGACACCCCCGTGTCCCGTATCCCTACCGTTGTTCCTCGCTATCGGTCGTCACCCGCAAATTCGAGCCGAGGAATACCCTGTCGCGCATCTCTGTTCACTCCGCTGCGCTGCGAGAGCCCGGAGTGCGTTCGCATTACANCACCAGAAATCGAAACCGTAGCAACCGCTTTGTCATGAACACGATCACCGTGCAAACGAAAATACAAAATACAGAACACCAATTGGAGATGAGTCAGCTGATCTGTGGTGAATCTGGGGCAAACTATGCTTTCGGTTTGTGTATAGAGTAACCGCGGCCACTTACGCGAAAAGTGATTCGATCTGTTTCGTCCGCGTCGTGCTCTTCAGCCAGTAGCGCGTCAAACAAGACGCTTCGACTGACCGCGGTCATCAGTGAGCCCGATTCCGAGGACATCATCAGACTGAGATTATCACAGGACTTGCGAAAGAATGTCGGTGTCGAATTCAGTGAATTCTCGCGTAACTGACGTCGGCGATTCACGGAACTGTATCGTCGCGCGCCATCAAACGCTTTCCTGGTTGTAAAGTAATGTTGATCGACACTCTATGTCAGATTTGAGTAACATAAACAGGAATGATTTGCAAAATTAAAAAAAACTGAATCACAGCAAAACGTGAACAGAAAAACTCGAAAGGCACACAATAACAGTTATATCTTGTTGTCAGATCCCTCAGCATTGCGACTCCATTGACCCAATCACCAGACCGAGACGTCACAGGTAGGATGCAGTTCTCAGACCCTTTTAAGCATTGATCAGACTGTGTTCTATTATGTACATGTGAATCAGTTATTCATTTTCATAAACGTTCCAACTACCCACCCCCCTGTTCGTCACACACAATCCCTAACTGATCCAATGAAGCACAGACTGGGGATAGAGTGGTGTAATTCGCCGGTCAGTAATGAATTTCAGGATTGGAACTATGACCACTTCTGTAAGACATGTTGGTTTACTAAAGCGAGTATTTGGCAAATTTGAACCTATGCTGTTCCGACGTTTGTTGTCAACCTACATTCAACCCAACACATAGTATGCCATTCAAGCGTGGAAGCCATTGCTGCAATGCGATCGTAAGATTCCGGAAGGTCCACACAGAATAGTCATCAAGATAGTCAAGGGACTGTATTCCAAGACGCATGTAGAAAGACTGGAATCATTGGGGCTGTATTTCACACAGTATCACTGCATTCGAGGGGACTTGATCTTAGTGTACCAAATAATGCAGAACCCAGATCACCCATGTCGTTCACTCTCTGCCTTGTCGCCCAACACTCACCTGACGGGGGGTACTCGTTCAAATTAGTGCTCCAAAAATGTCGATTGGAATGCCGGCATCATTCATTTGCTCTCAGAGTGTGCACAGTATTTGGAATTCTCTACCACTCCACGTGGATTTTATGCTCACACAGACAGAATGAATTATTGTCAAGTCTTAAACTATTCGACATCTGGACCGAGGTGTACACGGAACAAAGATAATTTATGAGATTTTACATCTTTCTATGAACTGTCGTATACTGATCCATTTGTGCGAACAACCCTATGGGACAAGAAAAATATTTCCCATAATAAAACTTTGACCCTCCCCCGTCCTCTTCACTTTCCCANTTCAGTTCTCGGCTTTCAAATAGTAAACAAATAGCGGACAATGAGTAAACTTTGTCTTAACCTTGGATCATGAAATGTTCCCCCGGATCTGTAAAACACTTTCCCCCAGTTTAATATGTTCAGTTTGTATAACAATAACCATGCACTTTGATGCGCCGGTTTTGGTTACTGTCTTTTGGCTGCCTATTTGGATGAAGAATATGAGAAAGACAAGGAAAGGTTAAAAGTAGAGTCGAATAGAAAATTTCGAATTTCAGTGGACCAATGTGGCAGAAAAATTGACAAGATGCATGAGCGCCACTCTTAACCACACTCAGCCATATCACTCAGTGTTTCTAACCATCCGTTAAGATTATCCCAAGGTCCCCAGTCAGGGAGCCTAACGGGATCTATGTGACCAAGTCTCCTGGTTAGGGATATTCTATATCCTCGTGCCTTAGCTTGGTCACCGTTGGCTTTTTTCCACCCAATACTAAGCCTGGAAAAACATGGCTCGTCGTGGCAACCTATCTGGTCACATTCGTAATATATGCCCCAATCAACGTAATCTATGGAGATCGATCATTTGTTCCAGTGGGCGGCCGAATTTACCTAAAACTCTGCATCTGACCTCAGCGTTGCTCGTCCGGTTGCCCCACCAGATTCGTGCGATGCTACGTAGACAGCGGCGTTCAAACACCGACACTATTTTTATCCTGTTTTTTTTTAATGACCACGTTTTTGCACCATATTATGTACACTGTGACGGTTAGTGTGTATGATTTTCTAACTGAAATGTGAGCTCCGTGCAAGCGATCAAATAGAGAAGATCCATGTGATACTCGATTGAACTGCTTGGTTTCACAAACCGACCAAGACTGGCGATATTTTGTCCCCAAGTAGAACATTTCATCAGATCGGGAAACCGTGCAAACCAAAGAAATGGAAACGACTCAAGCAGACAAAAGAAAACACGAGGTAGCAGAACGTGTTATTATCGCGTAAATGAACTTGTCCACTTTTGCACAGCGTCTTGAGGACAACCAAAAACAAACACCCACCTCCGCGCATAGCAAGTGGTTCGATCACATGGGGTAATTCTATTTGGCCCAATTGCTGATGGAAACCTGTGAAAATCTATGACCCAATCGGGGCTGATAAACGCGTGACCCGCTTTCATGGGGTGAATGCACGTTTGCAAAGCGGTTGTTTGATACTAAACGACCGATGTAATCGATAGTTATCCGCTTGAATGGCAAACATGTGTGCGGTTTATTGCACTAGGTGGTAAATGAAATACTCTGCTTTGATTTGTTACGCCCCCCACCCGTTAGGCATCCCAATGAGTGACCGGACTGTGTTAACAAGACTGATTACAGTTGGGCGACCTTGAGGGCATAACTTGTTCTCACTCCGATGTTTACTCTTGTTGACATGATTGTATTTACAAACGTACATCTAGAGCTGAACGCGAGAAAATGAAATTGATGCTCCATGCCAAATATCTATTGCACTACATTTTAATATTATATATTATCATGATGATGGTGATGATGATGATGATGATGATGATGATGATGATGATGAACTATGTATTTTATTTTGCTGCGGCTTGCTCCTGGGAGAAGATAAGCGGACTTCATGGATAATAAGTGAATATCCATGAAATTTCTTGAGAGTTAGACACAGTAAGCTTCCCCAGCTTTGGGTCGAGGTGGTATCTCTAGTCTTTGCACATCCAAATGCTAACTGCAAGGTGACAGGAATGTAGCGCATGGTTGCTGGTGGCCCTCTGAGGGAGGGGGGGAGCTCACATGCCATTGACAGTTTCTAGTTAAACAGGAATTCATGAATCCCTGATGAGTACGGAGTCATTGCTTTGACCGTTCAGTCGTGAAAGCGACTTCATCCGCCCAAGACGTGCGTTAGACACCGATTCGCCGGGAGTTCAACTCCCAATTACCCTCAACTTGGTCTGGCCCGTCTATCAAGCGATTTACCAGGGTGTAGCCGCTGTGACATCCGAAGAGCTTCTTGGATTCATAGGTGAGAGCTGAGCGCCTGTTGGAGCCCAAAGAACGGAGGATGCCCCAAAGGGGCCAACAGCCCTCCTAGTCAGAGGTGTTATACTCCTACCGAGTACCCACCACACCCTTGTCAGAATGCTCCATCACCATGAATAGGATCAAATCTCGTGAGGCCTACTTGATGTACAGGTAGAAAAATGGAATGCTGCTAATGTCAGGAATTGGCAACCACTTGCATTGTGATCAGACGTCTGTGTTTCAATGACAGAAATCATAGGAGACGAAACAACACGGGCATGTTATAAAAGCGGTCGAAGATTTGTGCACAGGACGTTTATGATTTCGGGTTCAGCACAATCGAGCGAGATTGAAGCATTATCCGGACTGGACAGATAGGGCATGCACGGAAAAAGATGTTTGCACGGGGAGAGTGCGGCGGTGGGGGTAGCGGATAGAAACACACTTATCCAAGTCAATTTGCAGGGTGTGCGAGGAATCGTGATGTGCTGATCCGATGAACGAATCACAGCTGAGCAATACTGCTCGAAAAAAGTGACTAAAAGACCCGGAGGACTTTTTGGACTAAACCTGGAAAGATCAGGGATGCATTGCTGAGCCAATATGGTAGGATGCATGAATAATTTAAAAAAAATGACACGTAATAAAGTTCGTTAGTATCAACTGCGTTCCCACTTGCAATTCATGCGACAAAAAGGCATAGGGGCTTCAAAAAGTGTTCAATCAGTTTACTTTTGTTTGAACTGTGGTATCACATACAAATATCTCAAAGTGAATGAACGATTCAGTTGTTGATCACCGCACGATAGTTCGATTGTATTCAACTGAGTGGTCTATTGTCTCCAAATGCAAGGTGATTTCGCCACGCCATCATGATGCATGTTGCTTTCTTGATTGCCTCGGCAAAGAACTACTGCCTCTATGCATTAACAGAGGACTTGCGTGTTATGGTAGTTCACGAAGATCACAGCTGTTCTAGTAACAGGTCGGCTCAATTAGACGTGTTTTTTTGGTCATTTCGAACTATCTTTATTCCCACGTCTGTTGTCAGTACACATCCGGTCGTATATTGAGTATGCCATCCAAACCTGGAAACCATGGTTACAACATGATCGTAAGATTTTGGAGCGTCCACAAAGGCTTGCCACGATAATGGTCACAGGACTCCACTGTGATTCATACATACATAGAGAGACTGAAGTCATCGAGGGTATAATCTGCTCAGTATCGTCAGATTCGAGGAGACTTGATGTTAGTGTACCAAATATTACACAATCCAAATCAACCTTGTCGCCCGCTTTTCACATTCTCATCAAACATTCATCTACGTGGAACTCCATTCAAGTTACTACTCCAAAAATCTCGACGGGACTGTCGACATCATTCATTCACCGTCAGAGTGTACACTATCTGAAATTCCTTACCATCTCATTTCGGTTGTGTCACAACGATTGATTCTTTGAAGGTAAAACTTGACGAATCATTAACACGCATTCCATTCCAACATCCATGAGCACACATAAGACAACCGAATACAGCATGGGGAATTTTATTCATAATTGTTACAGTTCAATACGCGCAAACACCCTATGGGACAAAAAAAGCATCTGCTTATAGGTTAGGCACATAATGAAACTTTGACTTTCGAAATAAAACGGCAAATCAAAGTATCCAAACAAAAGCTAGTATAGCAACATTGCATGACATATGTTCTGTACGATTTCGCCACATTTCAACTGGTCTGAGCCTCGTATGGATCCCCGATGTCAATCAACGATAGAAAACCAGTACTGTTTTTACCATTGGAGGAACAGGTTGACGTGCACCGCTTGTGAATCAATCCAACCTAATCCGGATGAAAATGACTCGCTAAGGGATAGCATGACGCCACCATTTGGGAGGACATAAAACTCCGATTAGATGTGAGAAGCGAGAATGCTAGAGTTTCGTGTCACGAACACGAGTTCCATTATTAGCATGAGCCCGGTGGGAAAAGTATGAATGCATGCATAACAGAGAAGAAATTCTAAGTCACATGAATGGTTCGCATCAGTGGTTGGAATTATGTGTCACACATGGTTAAGCTGTTGCAGCACAAAGTGCTGAGATTATTTGCTAAATTTAGTTACACAGGAACAAATTAGCAGTGTTCATTTCATTTCGCTGCATCTCAACTGGTGCCTACTGCAAACAAATATAATGTTTTATTGGAGAAATGAAGAATTTGATTTGTTTGGATGATGACATGGCAATCTTGCCTTGAGCCCAGTTCGAAATGTGTTCTAAAACTGGATTACGTAAGTGCCTTTCTGTGTCTTCGTAAGCACATTAGTTTCTCTTTTCAAATGTATCGCGGGAAAAGCATATTTCAGTTTCTTAAAATCTCATTTCCCTTGAATCAAATTATATTATGGAGGGATCGAGAAATAAACGATCAGTTGCAGAATATGCTGAGAGATAGAGGGACCGGAAAATTTTAAAATCATACTGTTTATAATGAGGAAAAAATCGAAGTGTTTGGAATGCACTTTTTTTCGTTTTTCTTTTTTCTGCTCTACATTCCCGTCAGACTGTGTAACTCTTAATTCTAACCTTTTATCTAGAATGAACTCAGTCAACTATCCGGGGTTTATTATTATAGATACTAATCTTCCGTGGTTCGCACACATTCAGAACTGTTTGAGAAAACTTCGTCGCCTCTCGTTTCCGTTCCGACAGCTCCGACAATTTCCACAATTTCCCCAAACAAGTTTTGTTTTCTTTTGCTCACTTGTCGTGTTTCCTGGTCTTCGGGAAACAGGATTTTAGAACAAACCGTTGTGAATTGATGACAATAAGTCGAGTTATTAATCACAGAATTTATTACTGATCATATGAAGTCTTGTGTGAACTTTGCCAATAGGATTCTAAACGACCCCCCCCCCAAACCATTCTTTGCATTTTGGCTGATCGTCTTGTCGCTTTCACACAATCACTCGTTCCTCTGAACGGTATCTACTCTGTACCGCACGTATCTGGCTCGAATCTTGATCAACAAGGGACAAGTCATAAACAATTTATGTCAATCTTTAATTGAATGAATCAAACTTTGGAGACATTTTGTTTTACACAGCACTCTATTGGATTTGCCTATACGTATATAGTTTCACCGATGTGACAAGCAATTTTTAACTGAATTGTAAGCGTATTTCAGTTTGCAAAAGTTACACAAATAGAAAAAAAAATACAAAATCAATCTGATCCTGGTTGCACGCGGAACAGAACAAGTGAAAGAATATCTACTACTTGAAGGATGCTAGCTCGGTTTGAAAGGATTTTTTTTTATATATTTTTTTATTTTGCTAACCATAGCGCACAATGCACTAATGCGGCTGAAATTGCCAGGACTACAGAACGCCCAAATTGTGGCACCGTGCAACAATCAACGTGTATCACGTTGTTTTGATGTGCTGCAATGAGCAGTGCGAGAGAGAGAGAGAGAAGGATGCGTTGGTCACGAGGACCTACGAAGCCACTAAGACAAATGGGGTTTTACAAACACGAGGAGTTACAGTGCAGAATCACTGAATCGTTGAATCGGGGAACAAAAACTCGCAGGATATCTTTTCGACATGTCTACGAAAGTTCCAGTACGGTCAGTGATCAGTGGGTATCTTGGGTTGTAGTTGGTCATCCCACCCCCTACCTTAATCCTCACAAAATGTTCCCTAATACGATCAACTGTCTCAAATAGCCAATCCTGCTGAAGAAATATTACTTATTGCCTTTCCGTGGGGTTGAGGTGTTTCCCCATCAAAGCTGATATTCGGAGCTATAACCGAGTAGGTGAACCAATATACCAGTTTGAATTACATTTGATAAACTATAAATTTCATTTGCGAAACCGTCATTTGGAATTGAGATATCATCATATAGATTTGAAAAAAGCGTTGTGTTTGGATCCGCCTCCGTTTAGCGCAACTCATTGATCACACATTTTTTCTACCCCCGGATGGACCATCTGTCTTTCCACTCTCTTTCTGTTTTGAAATGAGGCCGAACTCAATCGTGCATCTTGTCGAGCTCTGTGACGGACGTTGAATCGGTGGGTCGGTGAAGCCATGCTATTTGCGTGTGACAACCAAGCTGAACGTCACTCACAATATTCACACTCAATGAATACCTCCTTCAGTAATAATTTTTCTGATAATGAGTATTTGCTTTTCACTTTGAAAAAATATCTTTTTTTTCAAACGTATAGATCACATTCTGTTTGGTTCAGCTCTACGGGTTTAGCGAAGAATGAGCAGTTTGATAATCTATACGATTTTAAGGCCATGTACGAATGAAACTTATTACTGATTGAAAGGGGCTGATGAAAATAATGCTGTCGTACGCGTCAGCAGCCACTACACCATCGGGATTCTTACGTGTGAAAACAATTCGACAGTAGAAGACCTAATATCATTAAGACACGTGAATTGACATCAGTCAGTGCGATAGTTTTGCATCCCATTCAGCAGATTTAGCTCAGAAGTCTTGAATAGTACGGATCATGGAGTATTAGGTCGAAATTTTTCCTTCTCTTCCTCTGGTATGGAAGTGATGCGGACACTATGCATCAGCTAGTCTACCTGACTGACTGTAACTGACCTTATCAACAAATGCAATATAATAAATGCTGATGTTCATTTCCGTCGACTTATCTTACAATTCTGCCGGGAAATTACCACAGTTTATATTAGAGTCCCCACAGTGGTCACTAACTTTATGCTCAGTCTGCTTGCCAACCGCAATCTTGTGAAAAGAATGTCCACTGTATCTTAATGTCATTTGTCGATGTTTCATTTGCAATAATATTTATTCTGAAAACCAGTAACCTTTTGTTTCGTTCAGTTCTGTGGGCTGAGCCAGGAATGTGTAAGGTGTAACTGGTTTTGTTTTCTAGGCCAGCCCATTTACCCAAGTTCACCTCAAGAACTCCAACCTCTGTCACTGAACAAATATTGTTATTCATATAGACCCATGATTCTCGTACATCGCTGGGATTGCACCGTAAGCCCAAAACTCGTCGCTCGTCGTAGTTACTGTGATCAGCTTTGATTATTGAGCTATTGTCAATGTTAGAGCAACTAAAAACAAATGCACTTTAGCTGTAGTGGGCATGAGACAGTGCGTCACCTTTCATGCATATCGGGTGGTGTCCAGCTTGGTTGTCACACGCAAATAGCATGGCTTCACCGACCCACCGATTCAACGTCCGTCACAGAGCTCGACAAGATGCACGATTGAGTTCGGCCTCATTTCAAAACAGAAAGAGAGTGGAAAGACAGATGGTCCATCCGGGGGTAGAAAAAATGTGTGATCAATGAGTTGCGCTAAACGGAGACGGATCCAAACACAA